CATAAATGGGTCTTAATGGATTGAGTGTGGAACCCATTTCCAACCCACCCATTATGCCCACCCCCTTTTTATAAAAATAATTTTTTTTAAAAATCGAAATTACTTTTTTCTCCTTTTCTTTTATTTTTCTTTTTTCTTTTCTTTTCTTTCTTTTTTTTTTTTTTTTCTCTTTCTCTTTTTCTGCTGGTGGCTGGCCACGACGATGGCTGGCGACCGGCGATCGGCCACAGGCGAGGACGACCTCGGCCTCGCCGGCCTCAAGCGAAGCTCGAGCTTGCTCGATTCCGGTGAGCTGAGCCTCACCGGCCTCAGGTGAGCTGCAGCTTGCTAGATCCGACAAGCTTGAGTCTCGCCAAATCGGCAAGGTTGGAGCTTCGCCCAAGGCCGACGAGCTGGAGCTCGCCTAATTCCAGTGAGGTCATCCTTGCCTGTGGCCGGTCGCCGGCCGTCGCCGTGGATAGCCACCAGCTGAAAAAGAGAAAGAGGAAAAAAAAAGACAAAAAGAAAAAGAAAAGTAATTAAAATTTTGATTTTAAAAAATAAAAAAACATGAAAATCATTAAAATGATTGCATGAAGTAAAATCAAATAAGATTTTATATACCAAACGTCAGAAAATATTTTCTAGTTTATTTTTAGGTTTCAGCCAAACACCGGAAATTTTTTTATTTTCTTGGAAAATGACTTCATGGAAAATATTTTATAAAAATGTTACATTTATCACGAAACAAACATAACCTCAATTTTAAAAAAAAATTATAAAAATTGTTTACTAGCTTTGTATTGTATGAAAATGTTTTAGTAGTATAATTTAAAAAAAAATCATAACAAACAAATTTTCCTATATTGAGTTAAATATATAAGTGCTTTAGTAATATAGGTCGGGTCAGATATGGGTCGGGTCGGGTATGAGTCGAAATATTTATATTACAAATAGATGGGTCATAAATAGGTTAATGGGTTAATTTGAGTCGGATCATTTATGACCCAACCCGACTTACCCGTTTAACAGGTCTAGTGAAGAGTGGTTAACGTATCATAATTAGCCCATTAACTCGTTAGTGCTAAAGTTTACACACAATCGAACCATAACACTGTCCTAGAAAACACCTCACCCACATAATGGCTCCTAAAATTTCCTGTTCCTTTGTGTCCATCCTTGTTCTCTTTCTTGCAATTCAACCCTTCATTATTCACTCAAGAAGCCTAAAATCTACTGATCCAAGCCTCACTTCCTTCCAGAAGGGCCTAACCAAGCAAGGCATCAAAGAGGTCAAGCGTTACCTCAAAGCTTCCGGATACTTGGACTACGGAGAGGACAAGAACTACGTTGCCCTCATGGACGACAAGTTTGACAAGACTTTGGAGTTGGCGCTCAAATCTTACCGGAAATTCTACCATCTTAAAGTCACCAGAAAGCTTGATTGCGACACCGTGAAGCAGATGAGTGCCCCGCGATGCGGGGTGCCCGACTTGGTCCACCCTCGGCACGTAGGAAGGAATGCCACTAACCTAGCAAGTTCAGCATGGTAGCGCGCTTTAACTTGTTTCCCAACAAGCCTAAGTGCCCGCCTTCCCAAACCAATCTCAATTATACTAACGGACCGGTCCCCGAGGCCATCCCACTGGAGGAGTTGAGAGGAGTCTGCTCGAGAGCTTTCCAGAAGTGGGCTGATGTTACTGCGTTCACTTTCTCAGAAACTTCGACGGGCGGATCGGCTGATATCGTCATAGGCTTCTACAGTGGCGATCTTGGTGACGGTAATCCTTTCGACGGGCCTGGCAATGTTCCTGGCCATGCATTTTCCCCAACCGATGGCAGGTTCCGCTATGACGCGGATGAGCAGTGGAGCACTCCCGATCAGAACGCTGTTATGTATGCCATAACGTAATCCGGGTGCTCTCAAAAGGGATCTTCGACAAGATGACATCGATGGCATACGTGCTTTGTACGCTGGGCATTAGAAAAGGCCTTGGCTTATGGTTTTCAAGATTCAAAAAGCAATATCTTCAATTAAAAGATATGATTCTATTAGCAACATCAGGAAATTTTCGCTGTACACTTCATGCATTTTTTATGTAATTATTATAGTATAGGCCTGGTATGGAGAAGTTTGAGATGCATGTACACATGCATAATCAAAGTGATATAACGAAAAAGGGTTGGGGCAATGGTGTCATGGATCCATAGCTTTCTTTCTTCTTGTATCTATGTCACATATGTTGAGGCTAGACATGTAAGATGACTCCACCTTAGCTACTTGGACATATAATTTTCCACATTTCAAGGTTAAAACATTTTCTTGAGTAGTCGTGATATCTTTCAAGACACAGACTCAAAATTGGACGACCCTGTCTAAGCAACCATCGCTAGCGAATTTTTAATCGAAAGTGGCTTTTAATTGCAAAAATTTAATTAAATCATATCAAATTAAGTCTATTCATCAAGGTATTAGCAGAAAAGAAAGTCAATAAAGCTTGATTGTTTTTGTAGGGCAAAAGAACACTACAAGTGCCATAACTTGTGTACGGCGCTCACTTTGGTGCCATAAGTTTTTTTTGGATCACTTTAGTGCTAAAATTTTTGAAAAACGATCACTTAAGTGCTAAAATTTTGAAAAACGATCCGGTGCCGTACACAATTTTTCGCCGGAAATCCGACGTGGCATTTTTTTTATTAATTTCTGAAGCTGACGTGGCTCGCCGGAGATTGGCACTTAAGTGATCATTTTTCAAAAATTTTAGCACTTAAATGATCGTTTTTAAAAAATTTTAGCACTTAAGTGATCGTTTTTCAAAAATTTTAGCACTGAAGTGATCCAAAAAAAACTTATGACACTTAAGTGATCGTTTTTCCTCCGACTTGGCACCAAAGTGATCCGAAAAAAAGTTATGGCACCAAAGTGATATCCGTACACAAGTTATGGCACTTATAGTGTCCTTTTGCCGTTTTTGTAGTATGATCCCTGACATTCACACAGAACAATATCTTGATCTTCAATTTTCATTCTCCATGCTATTTCTAAGTTACTTTATGTATTACATGTTTATCTAAAGTGGAGTGTTTGATTGCAACTCTGGGATTACTCTGTCGCTTCTCCCAAAAGAAATAAACGTGCTGATGTCTCCACCATGCATTGATTATCCTCGTGTCATAGTTTGCAGCTCCATCTGCAAATAGTCACATAAACTACTGAAATTTACAATCCAAGCCTCTCGTGATTAAAACTATACCCGAATCGTTGGAGATAATCAAGAGATTTTTCAACTCTCCCTAAATTCTCCATATTTCTCTTGATTGTGCATATATTTCCTTCCATCGTGCATATTCTTGATTGATATAACAACTCGTTACCTTAAATAATTATCTTATGAAATTTATAAATACCTTATGTACGAACCTAACATCTATTGCATCATTCCATGCAAGAACTTTGAAGTGATATCTCCAACATTAGCATTTAATAGAACAAGAGATTAATCGCAAGTGGCCTATATCAATTTTCCAAGCAAGTATAATGCTAAGAACGGTCGTTACATATATGCAGTCTAGATTCTTTTATTGGGTATATATGATTAGCTTTCACTTGCACGCGAGAAAAGATCTTGACTATTCTTACCTTTAAATTTGAAAACTATCTTTTTGCTCATATGGTGGACATAACAGAAAATTCACCCCCCTCTCCAATATAAAATCAATTTGATAGATCAATGTTGAGCAGCCAATATTTCGAAAATTCCTACGTACTTTTAATCACATTGATGGCTACGAAAGGGAGACTCCAAGAGTCGCCTTAAAGCTCAAATTTTCTACTGTCCAATTCTAGAATTCGGACTATAAATCGTTCTAAAGCTTTGAAGAGGCAAAAAATTTAAGATTCCGTATATATCTTTCCTAAAACTATGCCTCGTGCTTTTCTTTTACAAACCCGTGAAAATTCAAATAGTTGTAACAGTATCTGATTTGCTTGGCTAAGTTATGATATTACTTGTTGATCATTTGAGCAAAGGTTATGTCAAGGACATCCTTTCGGCTTGCGTAGCCGAAAAGATACTATCTCCCATAGGGATAAAAGAGAGATGTATGTGGGTTGGATAGCCCCTCCCCATGGTTGGATGAAGCTCAACACCAACGTGGCCTCTAAAGGCAATCTGGGTCCAACGTCAGTGGGTGGACTTCTTTGAGATGAGTCGGGCAACTAGCTTGCAGGTTTTTCCCAACATGTGGGAGTATGCTCCTCGTTAAAAGCTCAACTTTGGGTTATCCATTTGGGCCTCAAATAGGCAATCACTTCGGACATTCCCAAAATTATTGTGGAGGTGGACTTGCAAGAAGCGATTGCACTATTTCAGAACCAACTATCTCTCGCCGTTTTGGCGACATCCTCATCTATCAAATTTAGAAATTGTTGAAGTACTATCAACGAGTCGGAATTAAGATTTGTTCAATTTGTAGGGGAGTGCAATCTTATCCATCACAATAAATTACTTGTCAAGTTTATGCGAGGCCCTTTGTCAAGTGTAAAGATATCGTCGGACTGTTTTCCAAATGTAGCGTTATTATAGCTTTGTCTACATATAGCCACGGAAGCTACGGAAATCCACTCATACTTGGATGAGAACACCTTCCTAGAAAACACTGCACGCACGCACGCCCAAAATGGCTCCTAAAATGTTCTGTTCTCTTGTGTCCGTTCTCGTTGTCCTTCTTGCTATTCATCACCCTTCACCATTCACTCGAGAAGCCTGAAATCTACCGATCCAAGCCTCACTTCCTTCCAGAGTTTGGAGGGGGCTCTCAATGGCCAGACCAAGCAAAGCATCACAGACGTCAAGTGTTACCTCAAAGCTTTTGGATACTTGGACCACGGAGAGGACGAGAACGAGGTTGCCCTCATGGACGACAGGTTCAACGAGACCTTGGAGTCAGCGCTCAAATCTTACCAGAAATTCTACCATCTTAAAGTCACCGGAAAGCTTGATGTCGACACCTTGAAGTAGATGAGTGCCCCGAGATGCGGGGTGCCCGACTTGGTCCATCCTCGGCACACAGGAAGGAATGCCACTAAGCCTAGCAAGTTCCACATGGTAGCGCGCTATAACTTCTTTCCCAACATGCCTAAGTGGCCGCCTTCCCAAACCCATCTCAATTACGCTTTCGGCCCGATCCCCGGGGCCATCCCACTGGAGGAGTTGAGAGGAGTCTGCTCGAGAGCTTTCCAGAGCTGGGCTGATGTTACCGTGTTCACTTTCTCAGAAACTTCGATGGGCGAGTCGATCGACATCGTCATAGGCTTCTACAGTGGCGATCATGGTGATGGTAATCCTTTCGACGGGCCCGGCAATGTTCTTGCCCATTCATTTTCCCCGACCGACGGTAGGTTCCACTATGACGCGGATGAGCAATGGAGCACTAACCCGAGCTCGACCCAATTCGACTTGGAATCGGTGGCCTTGCATGAAATAGGACACCTCCTAGGGCTTGCCCACACCCCCGATCAGAACGCCGTTATGTATGCCATGACGAATCCTGGTGCTCTCAAAAGGGATCTTCGACAAGACGACATCGATGGCATACATGCTTTGTACGCTGGGCAATAGAAAGGGCCTTGGCCTATGGTTTTCATAATTCTATTTGCAATATCTTCAATTTGTTGGCTGGGTCCGCCTCATTAGTGGGGCCCAACTGACTATAAAATAAAAGAATAAAAGGGTTCATATTATGAAAAACCTCAAACTAATATACTTGTGTCAAATTTACCACAAACTAATTTTTTGACACACAAAAAATCCCAAACTGGTACACTTGTGTCAAATTTACCATAAACTAATTTTTTGACACACCAAAAACCCCAAACTGGTACACCTGTGACAATTTTACCCTTCATTAATTTTCGTTAAATTTTATCGTTAAATTTTACCGTCAAATTTATGAGTTGAATAATATGTGGCAGTTGACTGGTGTAGCAGTTTGGGGATTTGCCCTCCGTTTGTCACATGTATACAAGTTTGTGGTTTTTCATAGTATTAATTGAAATTTACCCTCCGTTTGTCACATGTATACTAGTTTGTGATTTTTCATAGTATTAATTCAAATTAATGGAGGGTAAATTTATCACAAATATACCAGTTTAGGGTTTTTTTTTGGTCAAAAAATTAGTTTAGAGTAAATTTGTTACATGAGTACCGGTTTACCGTCAAATTTTTGAGTTTGATGACACGTGACAGTTATATCAATTTGTGATTTTTCGTGGTATTAATTCAAATTAATGGAGGGTAAATTTGTCAAAAATATATCATTTTGGGGTTTTTTGTGGTTAAAAAATTAGTTTATAGTAAATTTGTCACATGTATATCAGTTTAGGGTTTTTGGTAGTCAAAAAATTAGTTTTGAATAAATTTATCATAAATATACAAGTTTGAGATTTTTCGTTGTATTAACGTGAGAAAAAAAAAGAGTCAAAAGCAAAACAAAAGAAAGAAAGAGAGTACTCCGTGCGAGTGTGCCCAAAAAGAGAGGAGAGAGAAAAGGCATGAAAGCTCACCGAGAGTGACCGAGAGTGAGAACGTGGAGAAAGGAAAGAGGGCTGCGATTTTGTGGTTCCTAATTCGAAGACCAAACGTTAACAGAATTGACTTAAATTTCAGTATATTGCTTCGATTTCGTTCGTCGAGAACTGCAACAGTGATTAGGGTTTTCTTGCTTCGTTTATATTAATTTACCTTTGTGGTGAGGAAATACGATTGCATTGTTGATGTTGAGTCTGTTTGACTAGAGAAGAATACTTTATGTATCATACTATTTTGGTAATTAGTGGAAGTTTTTGAGCGATCCGTGATTTTTCCCCCTTTAGATTTCCACGTTAAATCTTGGTTTGTTTGTTGCATTTATCTCCTTACTAATTGTGAGGTTGTGTTACTGAAAATATTGTTGATTGTTGCCGGGGTTAAGTCGGATTTCGGTCGGTTTAGTTTTGGGGGAGATATTCATCCCGAATTGAGTTTGGTTCTTGGTGAATTGTTGCCCGATTCTCCCCAACACAATTAAAAGATATGATTCTATTAGCAAAATCAGCATCATGCATTTTTATGTAATGATTATGGTATAGGCCTAGTATGGAGAAGTTCAAATTAAGTCTATTCGTCAAGGTATTAACAGACGAGAATGTCAATAAAACTTGATTGTTTTTGCAGTATGATCCTTGACATTAACACACAACAATATCATCTTCTTCACTTTTCATTCTCCATGCTATTTCTAAGTTACTTTATGTATTGCATGTTCATCTAAAGTGGAGTGTTTGATTGTGGTGATTTACTAAGTTGAACTCTAGGATTACTCCATTGCGACTCGCAAAAGAAACAAACATGTTGATTTCTCCGCCATGCTTTGTGTAACGCCCCCACCTCAAGGTCATTAACGTGACGTCCCGTTCATTGTTATCTTTTTAATAAACACAAGCGGAAACGTAAACTCGGGACAATCACATTCAAAACAACAGCAGAATTTAGACAAGCAGCATCATGAGCAAACCTTATGTTTGCAGTGCATGTAAACATATTTTAACAAACCCTTCGGGTCATAGCAAACATCACATATTTCACACGCATATTCTAGAGGCTCATCCGTTCCTAGCCGACTATGAATAGCAAAACTCGGCTTGAGTGATCCTATCCCCTCTACTTCATCTTCTCGCTTCTAACTTCATCCACATCTCCTCCCCGCTTCCCGTCCGGATGGCCGATCTACACCCCACCCGTGGCATGCCCCGGAGCCGGCCCGCCCACGCCGTAAAAAGTCCATTGAATCCACGTAGGGGTCCAACCCATTCTCCGTCAGTGTAGCCATTCTATGCTATGTACGGGTGAGGCACCAAGTCCGTTAGGCCCTCATTGACCATCACATACGTCGTGATCCGGCAGTAGGCTCGGCCTTCTCAGGCATCTGTCACGGTGAGCACTTCGGCTCTCATTTCTACGGGGTTGCCGAACCGGGTCGGGGGAAATGCCATTCTTCGGACCTCAAAAGGGAATAACGAGGGATGAGTCGGGGAGACTCAGTAAGTAAACCTACTAATATCAAGCGAGGACGAGGGGATCGCCGTTAACATAAGTCGGCTCTTACCGGACCCGCATCGATGACAGAGCAATAGCAAAGTTCGTACAAAAGAACATCACGCATGGCTATAACATGTGCACTTTACCAGCCAAATCTCGATTTTATCTCAAGACAAACATCAAACATGAAACATGGTCAAATCAAGAGAATGAACCAACTATGACCAACCAAATGATCGAGAAACGGTCCAAGCAAATCATGTCACAACGCATCACAACTTCCTTTCCCGTTATTAGGAAGTTTACTTACACAACGGTATAAAACAAGAACTGGAAAATGAAAGGCGTGTCACGGACACGAAGGCCTCGGCGAATCTCGGGCGGTTCTTGGTGTGTGGCTTGAACACTATTACACGGCCCTTGAATGTGGACTTTATGTGGCCGAACACTAGAGAGGTATGGCGGGTCGGTGTGGTTCTTCCTCTCCCCCTCTCTCTATTTGGCATGAACAAGAAGCAAGGAAGCAAGAAGCGAGATGGTGATGGCGTGAGAATGAAGAGGAAATGGCGTGAGAGCTCGAGAGAGGAAGTGGCGTGAGGGAGGAGGGCTTCACGTGAGGCTCTCTCTCTCTCTCTCTTTCTCTCTATTTATAGAAGTCTTTCTTGGTCATCACTCAAGAATTTAATAAAGAATGGACAAAAGCCATGATGAAGGGGTCTTCAAAGTCCAACTTCATTTAAGGCTTGTCATCATGAAGGGGGCTTCTAAGTCAAGGGCCATTTAATGAGTCATGATGAACCTTAATAATGGAAACTTGAAGGAGAAGCTTTGACTATGTCAAAGCCTTATCTTCTAGCCTCTTCTAAACTTTTCCAGACCGTGGAGACCGTGGACTCCCTAGAGTCTTCTGTATTTGCTGGTTTCTTGCGTAATTGATTCGGGTCAATCTGGTCACAGGAAATAGACTCATTGGCACTAAAATCACAATCCGCATCATGCTTAGTTCTCAAGATTTTTCGAGGATTTTCCGCGACAAAACACGTATAACAATCTCGAAAAATTCCCAAATTTATATATGTTATAGAAAAAGAAGTTTTCAACAACTTTTGTGAAGGAAATTTTTCCAAAATCGGCCCAGAAAAGCTTGTATAAAATAAAGAAAGTGTAAACATCACTGAAATACCCATTATGGGTAGTTTTACACGGTCCGGAAATTAGTTTGTCGTACTACTCATTTCAAGTCCAAAAATTCTGAAATTAAAGTATGTAAACGTCAAGATGTTTGGAGAAACTTTCAAGAAGGAAGTGTTTGGAAATTCGGATCACAAAAATCTCCACAAAAATAACAAAACGAAGGGATACAAAGAATCCGAAATTGAGTTTTCCAGAACAAGAGTAAAAATTGGTTCCAATTGAAAAACTACCAAACTTAAACCATAGCCATTTCCTAGGGACTAAAATTGAGGATGTTACACTTTGACTATACTTGGGTATTAGGTTGCAGCTCCATCTGCACATAGCCATATAAACTACTAAAATCTACCAATCAAAGCTTCTCGTGATTAAACATATACCCGGAATGTTGGAGATAATTAGGGGATTCTTCGAATCTTGCTAGATTCTCCATGTTTCTCTTGATTGTGCGTATATCTTTCTCGATTATGCATATTCTCGGTGTATATCTTTCTCGATTATGCATATTCTCGATTGATATAATATCTAGTTTACCTTATATAATTATCTTATAGAATCTATAAATACCTTATGTACGAACCTAACATCTATCACATCATTCCATGCAAGAACTTTGAAGTGATTTCTCCAAGATTAGCATTAAATAGAAGAAGTGATTAATCGCAAGTGGCCCATATTAATTTTCTAAGCAAGTAATGCTAAGAAATCGTCGTTACATATATGTAGTCTTGATTCTTTTATCGGGTATATATGATTTAGCTTTCACTTGCACGTGAGAAAAGATCTTTACTATTCTTACCACTGCATTTGAAGATTATGTTTTGCCAATACGGTGGACAGAACAGAAAATTCACCTCCCTCTTGAATATAAAACCAATTTGATAGATCGATGTTTAGTAGCTAATATTTCGAAAATTGCCGCGTTCTTTTAGTCACATTGATTGCTACGAAAGGGAGACTCCAGGAGTCACCTTTATTTTCTAGCGTCGAATTCTAGAATTCAGACTATAAATTGCTCGAGTTTTGGAGAGGCAAAAAAATTTAAGATTTCGTATATATCTTTCCTAAAGCTATACCTAACGCTTTTCGTTTACAAACCCGCGAAAATTCAATTAGTTGTAACAGTTTTTGATTTGCTTGCCTGAGTTATGACATTACTTGTTGATCGTAATACCATTTTGAAAAAAAAAATTATGTCAAGGACATCCTTTCGGCTCGAATGGCAGAAAAGATATGTCTCCCTAGGGATAAAAGAGAGACATATGTCGGTTGGACAGCTCCTCCCCATGGTTGGATCAAGCTCAACGCCGATGGGGCCCCTAAAGGCAATTCGAGTCCAGCTTCAACAGATGGGCTTCTCCGCGATGAGTTAGGCAATTGGCTTGCAGGTTTCGCCCAACACATAAGGGTGCACTCTTTGTTAAAAGCTCAACTTTGGGGTATTCTTTTGCGCCTCAAACTGGCAATCTCTATGGGCATTCCCAATATAGTTGTGGATGTGGACTCACAAGCAGTAATTGCACTACTTTCATTTTTTTTTTTTGGTCGCAACAATTGCACTAGTTCAGAAACCAACAATCCCTTAAAGTTTTGGTGACATCCTTATCTTTCGAATTCAGAATTTGTTCAAGGACTTCCAACAAGTCAGAACTATTCATACTTTTAATGAAGGAAATTCGTGTGCAAATTGGTCATTCAATCCCGCAGATGTAAATGCCACTCCGGCATTAGAAAGGCCACCAATAGGTTTAATTCCCCTATTGTTAGGAGATCAGTCTGGTTTAACCTTTGTTAGGCAAGTGTTAATATAATAATCGGGCTTTGCCTCTTTTCTTAGAAAAAGAGAATCGTTCCATTGGCAGGTAGCGCACTCTTATCCATCGCAGTGAATTCCTCGTCAAGTTTGTGTGTGGCCATTACCAAGTGCAAAGATTTCGTCAGATTTGTTTCCAAATTTAGCTTTATTATAAGGTTCTATCTAGGACACCATTTTTGGCTCTTCAGGTAGTAGCTTTGTCTACATATATAGCCACGGGAGCTACTAAAATTCACTCATACCTGAATGAGAAAACCTTCCTAAAAAACACTGCACGCACGAACGCACGCACAGAATGGCTCCTAAAATGTTCTGTTCTTTTGTGTCCCTTCTCGTTGTCGTTCTAGCGATTCATCAACCCTTCACCGCTCACTCGAGAAGCCCGAAATCTACCGATCCAAGCCTCACTTCCTTCCAGAGTTTGGAGGGGGCTCTCAAGGGCCAGACCAAGCAAGGCATCAAAGACGTCAAGCGTTACCTCAAAGCTTTCGGATACTTGGACCACGGAGAGGATGGGAACGACGTCGCCCTCATGGACGACAGGTTTGACGAGACTTTGGAGTCAGCGCTCAAATCTTACCAGAAATTCTACCATCTTAAAGTCACCGGAAAGCTTGATGTCGACACCGTGAAGCAGATGAGCGCCCCGAGATGCGGGGTGCCCGACTTGGTCCATCCTCGGCACGCAGGAAGGAATGCCACTAAGCCTAGCAAGTTCCGCATGGTAGCGCACTATAACTTCTTTCCCAACATGCCTAAGTGGCCGCCTTCCCAAACCCATCTCAATTACGCTTTCGGCCCGGTCCCCGGGGCCATCCCACTGGAGGAGTTGAGAGGAGTCTGCTCGAGAGCTTTCCAGAGGTGGGCTGATGTTACCATGTTCACTTTCTCAGAAACTTCGACGGGCGAGTCGACCGACATCGTCATAGGCTTCTACAACGGCGATCATGGTGATGGTATTCCTTTCGACGGGCCCGGCAATGTTCTTGCCCATTCATTTTCCCCGACCGACGGTAGGTTCCACTATGACGCGGATGAGCAATGGAGCACTAACCCGAGCTCAACCCAATTCGACTTGGAATCGGTGGCCTTGCATGAAATAGGACACCTCCTAGGGCTTGCCCACACCCCCGATCAGAACGCCGTTATGTATGCCATAACGAATCCTGGTGCTCTCAAAAGGGATCTTCGACAAGACGACATCGATGGCATACATGCTTTGTACGCTGGGCAATAGAAAAGGCCTTGACCTAGGGTTTTCATAATTCTATTTGCAATATCTTCAATTTGTTGGCCAGGGCCGCCTCATTAGTGGGGCCCAACTGACTTTAAAATAAAAGAAAAAAGAGTTAATATTATGAAAAACCCTAAATTGATACATTTGTATCAAATTTATTACAAACTAATTTTTTGACACACAAAAAATCCCAAACTGGTATACCTGTAACAATTTTACCCTCCGTTAAATTCCGTTAAATTTTATCCTTAAATTTTACGATCAAAATTCTGAGTTGGATGACACGTGACAGTTGACGAGTATAGCAATTTGGGGTTTTACCCTCCGTTTGTCACAGGTGTACCATTTTGTGATTTTCCGTGGTATTAATTCAAATTAATGGAAGGTAAATTTATCACAAATGTACCAGTTTGAGGTTTTTTGTGGTCAAAAAATTAATTTAGAATAAATTTGTTACATGTGTATCGATTTGGAATTTTTAGTGATGAAAAAATTAATTTTAAATAAATTTATTATATGTGTATCGATTTAGGATGTTTTGCGGTAGTAACCCAAGAAAAAAAAGGGTCAAAAGCAAAACAAAAGAAAGAAAGAGAGTACGCTGTGCGAGGGTGCCCAAAAAGAGAGAGGAGAGAGAAAAGGCGTGAGATCTCATTGAGAGTGACTGAGAGTGAGAACGTGGAGAAAAGAAACAGGGCGGCGATTTTGTGGTCCCTGATTTGAAGGCCAAATGTTAACGAAATTGGCTTAGATTTCAGTATATTGCTTCGATTTCGTTCGTTGAGAACTCCAATAGCGACTAGGGTTTTCTTGCTCCGTTTATATTAATTCACCTTTGTAGTGAGGAAATTCGGTTGTATTGTTGATGTTGAGCCTGTGTGACTAGAGAAGAATATTTTGTGTATCATACTATTTTGGTAATTAGTGGAAGTTTTTGAACGGTCCGTGATTTTTCCCACTTTAGGTTTCCACATTAAATCTTGATTTGTTTGTTGCATTTATCTCCTTACTAATTGTGAGGTTGTGTTACTGAAAATATTGTTGACTATTGTCAGTGTTAAGTCGGATTTCGGTCGGTTTAGTTTTGGGGGAGATATTCATCCCAGATTGAGTTTGATTCTTGGTGAATTGTTGCCCGATTCTTCCCAACACAATTAAAAGATATGATTCTATTAGCAAAATCAGCATCATGTATTTTTTATGTAATGATTATGGTATAGGCCTAGTAGTATGGAGAAGTTCAAATTAAGTCTATTCGTCAAGGTATTAACAGACGAGAATGTCAATAAAACTTGATTGTCTTTGTAGTATGATCCTTGACATTCACACGCAACAATATCATCTTCTTCACTTTTCATTCTCCATGCTATTTCGAAGTTACTTTATGTATTGCATGTTCATCTAAAGTGGAGTGTTTGACTGCGTGATTTACTAAGTTGAACTCTAGGATTACTCCGTTACGACTTGCAAGAGAAACAAACATGTTGATCTGTCCACCATGCTTTGATTATTCTCAGTTCTTATGTTTTGCAGCTCCATCTGCACATAGCCACATATATAAACTACTAAAATCTACCAGTCAAAGCCTCTCGTGACTAAACATATACCCAGAATGTTGGAGATAATAGGGGATTCTTCGAATCTCCCTAGATTTTCCATATTTCTCTTGATTGTGCGTATAGCTTTCTCGATTTTGCATACTCTCAATTGATATAATATCTAGTTTACCTTATATAATTATCTTATAAAATTTATAGATACCTTATGTACGAACCTAACATCTATCACATCATTCCATGCAAGAACTTTGAAGTGATATCTCCAAGATTAGCATTTAATATAAGAAGTGATTAATCGCAAGTGGCCTATATCAATTTTCCAAGCAAGTAAATGCTAAGAAACCCTCGTTACATAGATGCAGTCTTCCTTCTTTTATTGGGTATATATGATTTAGCTTTCACTTGCACACGAGAAAAGATCTTAACTATTCTTACCATTGCATTTGAAAATTATGTTTTTGCTAATATGGTGGACCGAACAGAAAATTCACCTCCCTCTTGAATATAAAACCAATTTGATAGATCAACGTTTAGTAGCCAATATTTCGGAAATTCCCATGTACTTTTAATCACATTGATGGCTACGAAAGGGAGACTCCAGGAGTCACCTTGATTTTCTACTGTCGAATTCTAGAATTCAGACTATAAATCGTTCTAGAGTTTTGGAGAGGCAAAAAAATTTAAGATTTCGTATATATCTTTCCTAAAGCTATGCCTAATGCTTTTCGTTTACAAACCCGCGAAAATTCAATTAGTTGTAACAGTATCTGATTTGCTTGCCTGAGTTATGATATTACTTGTTGATCATAACACCGTTTTGAATAAAAATTATGTCAAAGACATCCGTTTGGCTCGAATGGCAAAAAAGATACTGTTACCACTAATTGAATTTTCGCGGGTTTATAAAGAAAAAGAGGTTGGACAACCCCTCCCCATGGTTGGATCAAGCTCAATGCTGACGGGCCCCTAAAGGCAACTCGATCCAGCTTCAGTAGGTGGACTTCTCCGCGACGAGTCAGGCAACTGGCTTGCAGGTTTCACCCAACACGTAGGAGTGCGCTCTTTATTAAAAGCTTAACCTTGGGGCATTCTTTTGGGCCTCAAACTGGTAATCTCTATATATGGGCATTCCCAAAATTATTGTGGATGTGGACTCGCAAGCAGTAATTGCACTACTTCTTTTATTTATTTTTGGTCGCAACAATTGCACTACTTCAGAAACCAACAATCCCTCAAAGTTTTGGTGACATCCTCATCTTTCGAATTCAGAATTTGTTGAAGTACTTGCAACAAGTCGTAATTATTCATACTTTTAGGAAAGGAAATTCATGTGCAGATTTGTTGGTAAATTGGTCATCCAATCCTGCGGATGTAATGCCACTCGGGCATTAGAGAGGCCATCAATAGGTTTAATTCCCCTATTGCTAGGAGATCAGTTTTGGTTTAACCTTTGTCAGGCAAGTGTTAATATAATAATCGGGGCTTTGCCCCTTTTCTTTGAAAAAAAGATTCGTTCCATTGGAAGGGGAGTGCACTCTTATCCATCACAATGAATTCCTTGTCAAGTTTATGTGTGGCCATTACCAAGAGTAAAGATTTCGTCGGATTTGTTTCCAAATTTAGCGTTATCACAAGGTTTTATCTAGGAAACCATTTTTGGGTCTTCAGGTAGTAGCTTTGTCTACATATATAGCCACGGAAGCTACAGAAATCCACTCATACTTGAATGAGAACACCTTCCTAAAAAACACTGCACGCACGCACGCACAGAATGGCTCCTAAAATGTTCTGTTCCTTTGTGTCCGTTCTCGTTGTCTTTCTTGCGATTCATCAACCCTTCACCGCTCACTCGAGAAGCCCGAAATCTGACGATCCAAGCCTCACTTCCTTCCAGAGTTTGGAGGGGGCTCTCAAGGGCCAGACCAAGCAAGGCATCAAAGACGTCAAGCGTTACCTCAAAGCTTTCGGATACTTGGACTACGAAGATGTGAACGATGTCGCCCTCATGGACGACAAGTTCGACGAGACTTTAGAGTCGGCACTCAAATCTTACCAGAAATTCTACCGTCTTAAAGTCACCGGAAAGCTTGATGTCGACACCGTGAAGCTAATGAGCGTCCCAAGATGCGGGGTGCCCGATTTCGTCTACCCTAGGCACGCGAACAGGAATGCCACTAAGCCTAACGAGTTCCGCATGGTATCGCGCTATAGGTTCAATCCCGGCATGAGTAAGTGGCCGCCTTCCAAAACCCATTTCACCTACGCTTTCGACGCCATCTACAACGACATCTCGCTGGAGCAGTTGAGAGCAGTCTTCTGGAGCGTTTTCCAGTCCTGGGGCGGTGTTACCGCCTTCACTTTCAATGAAGTTTCATCTGGTGAGTCGCCCGATCTCGTCATAGGCTTCTACGATGGCTATCATGGCGACAGCCGACCTTTCGATGGGCCTGGCAATGTTCTTGCCCATTCGTCTTACCCGACCTCCGGTATTTCCCACTACGATGCGACCGAGGCATGGAGCCTTAACCCCAACTCGACCCAAACCGACTTGGAATCGGTGGCCTTGCATGAAATAGGACACTTCCTAGGTCTCGCCCACACCCAGGATCCGAACGCAGTCATGTATGCCGGAATTGCGGCCGGTGCTGTCAAAAGGGTTCTTCAACAAGATGACATCGATGGAATACGTGCCTTGTACCCTGAGCAATCGTAGGCCATTCTATTGGCGATGTCAGCACATTTTCACTGTGCAATAAGTGATTACAACAATGAAAGCAGCAGTTATTAACACATGCCCACTTCACAAATTTTTTTTTGGTGAGGAATATAGTATAGTCCCGGCATACTAGAAGTGATTGCCAATCAGTGTATGTTTTGATTAATTAGTGTTTTTACTTGGTGAATAGCCAACAGGGGATGGTTCTAGACATGTAAGATAGACTCCACCTCAGCTACTCTGGACATAAATTTTTTCGTGAAGGATGAGAATATTTTTTGTTGTTTCATTTTTGTAAGCGATACAAGCTATTCTTTCCAGAAAAATGTTTACGAAATCATTCATTTTCCGCGAAATAAACGAAACCTAAAATTATACATGGATTGTTGGAGATAATTAAGGGTTTGTCCACATCTCCTAATGATTATGCATATCCTTGATTGATCATAGTAAATCATAATTAATATCGAAATATCTTGTTAACTCGAATAGTCATCATCTAAAATCCATAAGTATCTCACGTATTCATTATTATGATACACATAATTCGGACATATATTATTATATTGGATGATTCTAGTCTTCTCAAGGCACAAACATATGAAAAAGAGAAAAAAAAAAAACCTAAAATCTATAGCTTCTTATGCCACTTGAGAACTTTGACAGAATATTTACAAGATTAGCATTTAATAAAAGAAGACATCAACTAAAAGTGGCCTATACCAATTTTCCACGCAAGTAGTGTTAACAAACTGTCGTTCGAACATACATACATATATATACATACAAGATTTTTGGGGAGAAGAACACTAGAAGTACCAAAACTTGTGTACGGCGCTCACTTTAGTGCCAAAAGTTTTCGTCGGCTCACTTAAGTGCCAAATCGGAGGAAAAACGATCACTTAAGTGCCAACGGCGAGAAATTCCGGCCAAATTAATACGTGGCTTTTATAATTAAAATTTTAAATCGAATTGGAATTTTTTTAAAAAAATCGGACTACGTGGCATTTCCACGTGTATAATTCAATTTTTTAAATATTTTTTCTGAAATTTTTTTCCTTCTTTTCTTTTTTTCTTTTTCTTTCTTCTTCTTCTTCTACCTTGGGTCACCGCCGGTGACCGGAGGCCGGCCACCGGCCATGGCCGGCCGCCTAGTCGCCGACGCCTGGGGGTTTGGCGATGACGAGGCCGGCCTCGCCGTCGCTAGGTTTGGCGATGGCGAGGCCAGCCTCGCCACGGGCGGCGAGGCTCGACCTCGCCCCAGATCGGGCGCGAGGTCGAGCCTCGCCCGGCCGTGGCGAGGTCGACCTCGTCGCGCCGGGTTTGGCATGGCGACGGCGAGGCCGGCTCGCCACGGCCGGGCGAGGCTCGACCTCGCCCACCGTCGGCCGGGTTTGGCAACGGCGAGGCCGGCCTCGCCACGGTCGGCGGCGAGGTTCGATCTCACCCGCAGATCCGGCGAGGTCGAGCCTCGCCGGCCGTGGCGAGGCCGGCCTGGCGCTCGTCGCCAAACCCAACGACGGCGAGGTCGGCCTCGCCACGGCCGGTGAGGCTCGACCTCGCTCACCGCCGCCGGGTTTGGCGGCGGCGAGGCCGAGCTCGCCGGCCGTGGCGAGGCCGACCTCGCCGTCGCCAAACCCCTGCGGACGGCGAGGTCGGCCTCGCCGTCGCTAGGTTTGGCGACGGCAGGCGGGCCCGCCGCCGGCCGTGGCGAGGTCGACCTCGCCGTCGCCGGGTTTGGCCGGGCGACGGCGAGGCCACCACACGGCGGCGAGGCTCGACTCGCCAGATCTCCGCGAGGTCGAGCCTCGCCGGCCATGGCGAGGCCGGCCTCTCCGTCGCCAAACCCGGCGACGGCGAGGTCGGCCTCGCCACGGCCGGGCGAGGCTCGACCTCGCTCACCGTCGCCGGGTTTGGCGACGGCGAGGCCGGCCTCGCCACGGCCGGCTAGGCTTGACCTTGCCGGATCCCGAGCGAGGTAGAGCCTTGCCCGGCCATGGCGAGGCCGACCTTGCCGACGAGCCTTGCCCGGCCATGGCGAGGCCAATCTCGCTAAGGCCAGGCGGCCGGCCGTGGCCGGTGGCCGGCCTCCGGTCACCGGCCGTGACCCAAGGTAGAAGAAGAAGAAGAAAGAAAAATAAAAAATAAAAGAAAAATAAAAAAATTCAAAAAAAATATTTAAAAAATCCAAGTGTACATGCTAAACTACGTCGTTTTGATGTGTACATGTCGACTCAACCTCCGCGAGCCACATCGGCTTCAAAAATTAATAAAAAATGCCACGTCGGATTTCCGGCCAAACTGACCGGAGTTGACACTTAAGTGATCGTTTTTCAAAAATTTTGGCACTAAAGTGATCCAAAAGAAACTTTTGGCACTGAAGTGAGCACCGTACACAAGTTTTGGCACTTCTGCTGTTCTTCTCCCAGATTTTTTTATTCGGTATATATGATTTAGCTTTCACCTATACGCAAGAAAATATCTTAATTATTCTTACCATCACGTTTAAGAATTCTCTTTTTACTAGTATGGTGGACAGAATAGAAAATTTACCTCCCTCTACAATATAACACCAATTTGGTAGCTGAATAATTAGTCAATGCAGGGACGTGTTGAAGCTAAGAGTGATCGGTTCCTAGTTCGGTCCGGTCCCACCTGGAAATCGGAAACCAAACCAGGAAGACCGATTCCCCATTTCTAAAATTGGGAACTGGACCACCTGGTCCTTGAACTTGTGGATTCACAATAATTCCTATTCTTCAAACGTGTTAAACACATTAATTTCCTGTGTGTATAAATAATACAAGATCATACACTAAAATGAATTATTATTGAACTCCATTCTTTTAAAAAACATGCGTTTGAATTTCATTCAGGAATATCATCGAACATTTAACGGGTGACTCGGCCATAGATTTTTGATGTAAATGTACAACAACTAAACATTTCTAAACATAACAACTAGCAGCCGTTTTAGACGTAATTGATTTTCACGTAAACACCATCATAACTCTCAATCTCCATTTTGCGTGTAAAAGAGTAGAGACAAAAGCCCAAATGTTTACCTTGGAAATGCAATTGAAGGCCACGAACACCGACTTAATCGGTGATAGGAACATCAAAAAGTGTCAATCGGCTGGAATCGAAGCCAATGAAAAGGAATCGAGCCGGAGTAGAACTCTTCGCACTCTTTGAGCAAAATATAGAGTAGGACGGATTAGTTTCTGCGAGACTATGGATCGGTGAATGACAGTGGTCGGAGGTGGCAACGATGGCCTAAAATCGATGAAAGGAATGTGCAAACAAGAGAGACTGGTGAGATGATGTTTATGCGTTCCCTCAGTGTGATTGTGAGGAGCCGGGAAAGAGGGTGACCATGGAATATAACACTTTTTTTTACTGTCCCAAAAAAGAAGGCCAAGGACCCTGACATGAAAATAAAGCTTTGAGAAAATTTCAAATAAGGACACTTTATGCCTTTATTTTCTCCAATAATGACTTGAAGTGGAACTTATTTCAAATAAAGACTTGAAGTAGTTATGACAGTCTTAAATAAGGGCCTGAAATAGTAATAGCAGTTTCAAATAAGAACCTGAGTCGCCAGCTGGTAAGGGGCATTTCCGTCCAAAGATAATTTTAACTTAAATTTTAGTTAAATTAGATTAAAAATTAAAAAATCTAAAAAAATTTTAAAAAAATGCGGACGGAGGGAGGGCCTTGATTTTTTCTTTTCTTTGTGTGTGTGTGTGTGTGTGTTTTTTTTTTTAAGTTTTAGCCTTTTATCTTTTTTTAGTTTATCTTTCTTATGGAAATTTTTTTGAATTTTTTAACCTAATTTAATTAAGATTTTGTGTGAAAATTAGGATTTGGGTCAAGACGACATTATTTTAATGCTTTAATTAACCTTAACACCACATGGGAGAGATAAAATTTTAAAAATAATCTTAACACGAAATCGAGTCCTCCTAGGTCCTCACATGTGGCTTTTGAGGGCGGTCTTGCCCTACCCTCTCCTGGTATCGCCGGTGACCAGTCATCGCTTGAGACCAGCCACCAACAAAATTGAAAAAAAAAAACAAAAAAAGGAAAAAAGAAAGGAAAAGAAAAAAAGGAAAAAAAATCAAAAAAAGTAAAAGATGAAAATTGCCTGCGAGGTCAAGCACTTTTTTGAGACCGACATGGCCACTTCAGACCGTTATTTGAGTAAATGAGGATACTTTATGTCTTTATTTGGAATTTTCCCTAAAGCCATGTCTAAGCGTGTTATTCTTTTTTTTTTTTTGGTATGCATACTTTAATTCTCAATCCACTTTCAGATTTTTGCCCTATTTATTTACAGAGCATGGAAGTCAAAATCCACACTTCAAAATTAAATATCTCCACTCCTAATCTTTTGAAAGGGTGAGGAGTCGACCTTCCCACCCTTCCAAACCGCAACGGTTCTTCTGTTTTCTTTTGTTTCCTCTGAAAGGAATTTGACTTCAGATTCCGCCAAAATGCTAAAAGGATTCCCTCTCCTCTTCAAGGTCTAGTGCGGTCCTTTTTTTAGGTCGCGAGTCCCGTCCTCTTGCCAGCAACAGGAGCTAGGTAAAAGAAATTCTTGAATTCGATCGAGGTGCAAATCCGATCTTTACCAGGACTTTGAAGTTTTGAGCTCTGCGATCAACTGGGGTTTAGGGTTCTTGAAGATGGAGAACTCGGGGGAGATGGAGAAGGTGGTCGCCGTGATCATGGTCGGTGGACCCACCAAAGGTATATTTGTCAACTTTTCCTCGTTTTCTAATTTTGAGAAAAGAGATAGTCCGTGCTCGGTTCTTGTTTGCTTGATCATGAGGTCCGACTTCTCAATTTGCAGGCACTAGATTTAGGCCTCTATCATTCAACATACCGAAGCCGCTCTTCCCTTTGGCTGGGCAACCCATGGTTCACCATCCCATCTCTGCTTGCAAAAGGGTATGTCTCAAAATTCGAACTTTTTTAGTGGGAGTGCTAATGTTTCCATGTGATTGGACCTAAGTGTGTTAGTAATGAGATTTTGGAGAAATGGAGGATTGATCAATGTGGAGTTGTTGTGATATACAATTGGATTCTTGCTGTGCAGATCCCCAACTTGGCTCAAATTTTCCTGATTGGGTTTTATGACGAGAAGGAGTTCGCGTTATACGTCTCTTCCATATCGAATGAGCTGAAAGTCCCAGTGAGGTGACCCCTACGTTGGCGTTTGGGTTTGATGCATTATATGCTTGCATATAGAAATAAGCTATAAAGGCCTGCATTTATGTGTGCGTGCGCGCGCGCGTTTCAATAATCGATTCTTCTTCAGATACTTGAAAGAGGAAAAACCGCATGGTTCAGCTGGTGGCCTTTATCATTTCAGGAATTTGATTATGGAAGACAGCCATGTATAGTTCTTCACTTGGTCTTTGATGTTGTGTCATATGGGAGAATTACGAGCTTGTATTTCCTGATATATGCCATTCACATGAAGCATATTCTAATTTCAAATCTCCCTGTTGTTTTACAGTCTCATATCTTTCTACTGAACTGTGATGTCTGCTGCAATTTTCCACTTACAGATATGCTTGGTAGGTTCAATTTTTTCCCTATACGCCGTAATGGTGTTCTCTACTTGAAATTTAGTTAGCTCTTTAGGATGATGCGATTTATGTAGAGAACATGATTATCCCAATGCAATGTTTGCACATGCAGAAGCCCATAAAAGATATGGTGGGATGGGAACATTGCTAGTAGTCAAAGTGAGTTCCTCGTGGCAAAGTTTCTCTCTGTGTTCTATCAAGCTGATAATTCCTCAGACCTTCCTAGTTGCTGACACGTACCTTCGTTTTTCTTCACCGACAGGTTTCTGCTGAATCAGCTAACCAGTTTGGTACACTAGTTTCTGATCCAGTCACGAATGAGCTGTTGCATTACACAGAGAAACCTGAAACTTTTGTACGTTTACAGGCTTTTCACTTTCTCAGACTGCTGCTAGGTTAACTGAATAATGTATTTGAGGAACCTACTTTTTCTCTTTGAATGCAGGTCAGTGATTTAATAAATTGTGGTGTATATATCTTTACTCCAGATATCTTTTTTGCAATTGAGGATGTATCTAATGACCGGGCAGACAGAGGTTGGTCAATGTGCATAAGATGCTTCAAGTGATTTGGGTTTGTCATGAATTGCATTAACATTCGGGCTATCTCACTTTCATGCTGATATTTTTGTTCCTTTGTTACAGCTAATCTGCGGAGATTATCCAGCCTTGATATATCCACATCTACAAGGTCACTTACCGATTTTCATCCTTAGAAATATTTTTTCGAGAATTTTATGTATCATCAATTGCATGCAGCAGTTCTGGGTGATTATTTGTAGTACTTGACCAATTAGTTGAGAAGATTTTGATTAAAAAAAAAGTTGAGCAAAAATGGTATAAAAAGATTCATATAGCCAACCCCACTTAATAGGCTAAGGTTGAGTTTTTTGTTGCTGCTGCTGTTGTTATACTCAAACAAGTAGTTGCCAATGTCACTAAAAAGATTTAGAACATAACTACTCCTCTTTTCCCTTTTGATGAGCAAAACTGCGTAATTTCTTATTGGAATTGCCAAGCAATTATAACCAATGCAATAGACACCTATGCAGTTCTTGGTTACAGGTGAAAAATAAACCTTGGGGATTGCCTATTTGCATGGAATCTAACAAACTCTAAGGTCATAATCTTTTTCTAGTTTTAATCTTTGCAGGATGCGGTGTTTGTTAACAAATGTTTAACTTCCCGTGGAATTAGCAAACTGGTTTCAGATCAAATTGAGGATGTACAGAAGAAAGGATATGGGCCAAAGACAATGAAAATATGATAACTGGATCTTGCGCATGCATCTGTGTTCTTGCCCCCCTTCATTAATTTGCTTGAATTTTGCTGAGGCGCGAGGAAGTTTCTCTATGTTAGCTCAAGATTTATTAAGTAAAGAAAAGATCCTTCTTTCAAGTATAAGTTTGTTGCTGCACCTGGGTTGTCTTGTTAAAATATTCGGAAAATGAGGAAGTTACTATGCACATATCATCACAGCTGTGCTCACGTATTCATTTCTTTAGGTTATATGTTACACCGTTTTTTCGTTATTTTGGATATTCTGATCCCTGTTTCGAAGCTGATGACGCTATTCTTTCCTTGTTCTTAGTTTTCTCAACAGAACCAACATTCCTACAGATTTTGTTAGATTGGACCAGGATATTTTGTCACCTCTCGCTGGAAAGAAGCAGCTTTATACATATGAGACCATGGATTATTGGGAACAGATCAAGACACCGGGGTAAAGTGACTTGACGTGATGCTTTAGCTTCCCTTTTTCTAACTATTAGTGTCCATTTACAACTTGCCCTCATCTATATACCCTTACAATGTCTCTTCCTGTCCAGGATATCTTTGAAATGCTCCGGTTTGTATCTGGCCCAGTTCAGACTCACCTCTCCTCATCTTCTTGCTAGTGGAGATGGTACAAGAAGTGCCACAGTTGTCGGTGATGTTTATGTTCACCCATCAGCTAAAGTACATCCAACTGCAAAGGTTGTTCCATTTACTTCCATTTAATTCCTTCATATCGGTCCATCTTTTCTTCCTAGAAAACTTTTAAGTTAAACACTCTGGTTATGGACCAATCAAATTCATCGATTGATATTCTACTCAATTTAGAATTTGCTGTCAATCTAGGCCTTCTTTCCCATATAAATCAAAGATGGAGCTCAAAATACACAGTATTAATTTGCATACATCCTAGACACGTTTGCACAGTGACCGTGAATCCATAATGTTCCGGTGAGTTAACAGCAGTTGTTCAGTTAATTGATTTTCTTCCTTTCTGGGCTTTTCCATAAGATAAGTATGGAAAGATCACCTTTTGGAGAGTATGCCTTCAATTTAAAGAAGAGTAAATACAGTCAGACCCCTAGATGAGTCGAGTTCTTGAAAGAAGTAGCATCATCAAGTGATTTGAGTGTAGTTTACTTTAGAAGGGTGAATCGGGAATGCTTAGAATACTTTCAGGGCCTGACTTATAATTGCTGCTTTTGCCATCTACATTAGCTTTGTCCTCCGTGTGTATCTTTTGATTTGACATTACTTGTTCGGACAGGTTGGTCCCAATGTCTCTATTTCAGCAAATGTTCGTGTAGGACCTGGTGTGAGGCTGATAAGTTGTATTATTTTGGATGATGTCGAATTAGAGGTATGGAAGACAGTCAAATATGAGTACCGTCATCGTAGGAAGATGAGAATATTAACGGAGATTGCTTTGGCAGGAAAATGCAGTCGTCATAAATTCCATTGTCGGATGGAAATCATCTCTCGGGAGATGGTCAAGAGTCCAGGCAAGTTTGTTTGCGGTTTCCCTGTTCATTCTCGTGTACTTCCACAAGCAAAAATTGTGACATTAGTTGAGGACTTGAGTGCTCGGAGCTTATGGCTGTGAAAGTTTGTAAAAATTAGTTCACTTAAAATTCTTACCATATCAATTTCGGCCTTTGTTGATTGCTATTAACTGTCAATGATCAACCTCTTTCCGCTTTTCTAGGCTGATGGAGACTACAACTCAAAGTTGGGAATCACAATTCTCGGTACTTTTTTCTGAAGAGTGCAAATTACTTGACCAATATTCTGTGCTCGTTGCATTTTAATCCGTGGATTATGCTCACCAATGCAGGGGAATATGTGGTGGTAGAACAAGAAGTCGTTGTCGTGAACAGCATCGTTCTGCCGAATAAGACTCTCAACGTGAGTGTGCAGGATGAGATCATCTTGTGAAGATTTGGAGATGTTTGAAGTTCAAAGCCCTCCAAGCTGCACTATTTGGAAGATTTTTGTTTTTGTTCCGCGAGAAAGACGGAGGGAGGGATGCATTGCCCCTTTTTTATGAATGAATGTTCTATTCTGTGAAATTCCACCTTTTTTTTTTTTTGGAGATGTAAAAAGCTTGGCTTCGATGAACTTTTTTTTTTTTTTTTCCATCTAATGCTCGAGAGATGGGTTGTTTATTTGGAGATTCAAAAGGTAGTAGATCATCTGGAGAAGGAGAATGTTTCCTCATCTAAACCACAATCGCATCCCACTACATATTGCCAAAGCCTTTGCTCATATTCTAAAACTTTTACAATCACCTCTTGATACTACAGCCAATATTTTACAAGATATCGCCAATCTCTCCCCACATAATACCCACCCAAATATCCAACCAGAACCCAATTCTAAGCCTCATCTTGAGAAAATACTTACTGAAGAGGAGCTTTTTAATGAGGTTACCCCTACTTCCCCCACTTCTAAAACTTCCTCGATCCCTTGTGATCTACCGCGACTCACTTGCTCTTACTCATCCAAATCCTCTAATCCTCCTGCTTGTCGAACCAATTAATTGTCCTGATCTCAACCCTATTACCATGATGAAGGAAGATAGTGAGAAGGAGGTTGCCGAGAATAGATACTTTGTTGAATTTCCTGGTGTGCAGAGAGGAGCTGATGTTGATCAGGAGGGTGAGGTGAATGCTGGAGCCGTGGTGCCTGTACAATTGGCTCAGGCATTGATGGAATCTCTCTCTGAAAAGAAAGGAGTATCCTGTAAATGGAGCTGAAAATGGAGCAAAAAAAATAAAAAAAATTTAAGGGTGTGCAGGTGGAGGTTGTGGCAGAACAATCCGCTTCAGATAAACAGAAATTGCTGACAAAGATTGCTTTTTCGCTGCTGGCATATCTGGAAACGAAGGAATGAGATGGTGTTTAATGGAAAAATTCCAAACCCATGAGAATGTTATTTTGAGAATGCTGATTGCCCCTTTGATGAATCTGTTAGGATCTCTACTGTTGTCCCCGTTGAAGTGGAGTGATTCGTCTGTCCATGATGAACATAAGTGGCAGAAACCCCGTGAAGGGGTTAAACTGAACAGTGATGGGGTCCTTCGTCAATGATAGGGACTCTAATGGCATGCTATTTGGAGACAAAGGAGAGAGGATACCCACAGAACCCATTGATGCAGCGGAAGCTCTTGCCGTGTGGAATACTGTTTTATTGGCAAAGGAGAAAGATCGGGTCTATAAAGAAAGCACAAGGAACCTCTGAACTGGGTCACTGCTCCTATTCTTGAGCATATTCACAAAGAGCTTGGCCAATTCCAGCAAGCAATCCTTGTTAGGACCGGCCTCCAATTTGTAGAGCTTAAAACGTACCCCGTAGAATCTAGAACCGAACTTGTCGATTTGACCTGGTTTTAAGGTCTACTTAGAAACCGGCCGACATGATCTCAATGCTTCAATACTCCATCAGTAATAAACACTATTATCTACTAAACAGATCAGAAAATATATGAGCCCCACCCATCAACTTCATGTCTCTCAAAAAAACATATTTTTGGCAAATTCTTCTAATTTCTTAGCAACTTTCCTTTTTTTATGCCATCGCAACTTTCTCTATTTAGCCAAAGATTTGTAACTTTGTTGTCCGCATACGATGAAATAGCTGCTGAAGCAAGGTACTAGAGGCGGTAACAGGATGCAACGAAAGAGTAAAAAGAGAAAACCGGACCGGAATTGGCCGGTTCGGTCCAGTTCCAAGTTTTACCCAGGAACCGATGACCACCGCTAAGGAGGAGGAAGAACAGAAGGCAGGCTACAACCCTCACAACAGCGAGTCGAAAGCTAGCCATATTCCGGCAACTAAAAAAAGGGAGAGAAAAAAGAAGAGAGAGAGAGAGAGAGAGAGAGAGAGAGAGAGAGAGAGAGAGAGAGAGAGAGAGGGAGAGGGGACCGAAAACGGCAATGACATCGCTCGCAAGTTAATCCAAATGGTTTCGGGGCGCGCTCCGCATCGCCAGAAAAAGCAAATGTGAAGATTACTCCAAATAAATCACTAGTTAATTAGGAAAAGAATCTCGATTGATTAAGCAGCTGGGGTTGCCAGAGGCCCCCCCCTATCTGCAGCAGGCGGGCGGGCGCCCCTTCAAATGACAGATTAAAGAAATCACGATTCTCAGGCCGGGGAGGTGCGAAATTACCAACTCGCCCGTCACCCCGATCCCCCCCGGGGGGGGGGGGGGGGATACGCAAGCGCGCGAGGGCAGAGGAGTAAAAGCACGCGCAACCGCTCCACAATTCAAACTCCCGCGCCATGCAAACGAAAAAACGAATCCTCGCCTGCGCTCGTCCCTCCCCACCCTCAGATCCAAAGCTTTCGAAAATTCAAACCCGCCACGCCATCGCCACACCCCCCACCAAAAAAAAAGCTCTCCCTCCCTCGCTCCCCTCCTCCGTCCTCCTCCCTCCTTCATCCTCCTCCTCAACGGTCCCTCCTCTTTATACCACCATCGAACCTCCGCAAACGCACAGCCGAAGCACGGACGCCCGGGAGCCCGGAAGAGAGCGAGAGAGACAGAGAGACAGCGTGTGTGCGCGCGTGCGCGTGTCGCTCGCGAGAAGCCGTCCGCGATGGAGCTGGTGGCCAACGTGGACGGCCCGGCTTGCCGCGACGGCGCTTCGGCGGCGGGATCCGGGGAGCTGCTCGATTCCAGGCAGCATCTGTATTGCCGCAAGGACAAGTCGCTCGGCGTCCTCTGCTCCAAGTAAGTTCCCCCCCCCCCCCCACCGAAAGCCTCCTCATTTCCTATCCGATCCTCCCTCCTTCCCCGTGACTTGATCTGGGTCTTGGTCAAAATTTTTCCCTTATTCCCCTTGTGCGGTCTGGGTTTGTTTTGTTTTGGATCGTCAGTTTCCTGAGGCTGTACAATAGAGACGGCGTCGAGGTGATCGGTCTCGACGATGCTGCGCTCAAGCTAGGTGCGTGCTTGCTTCCTTCCCCTCTCTTTGCTCGCTTCGATCTCGCGAGACGGGCGGGTTTCCGATAGACCCTGATTTTTTTTCTTTCTCTTTTGCGAAGCTAAGATGTGCTAAGAAAGTTTGCTTCTGAATGAGCAGGAGTGGAGCGGAGGCGAATCTATGATGTGGTGAACATACTGGAAAGCGTCGGCGTGAGATTTCAAACCTTACGACTGTTTTAGATTGGATTTGAAGAGACATTCCGCTCCAGCTTATGTCGCGTTGCCGAGGTTGATTTGAGTTTCCGATTTTGTATAGGTCGTGGCGAGGAAAGCGAAGAACCAGTATTCATGGAAGGGTTTCAGAGCGATCCCCAAGGCCTTGGAGGTGCTCAAGGTGTGAATTTAGCTCCTGAATACATATTGCTATAGTAGTTTTAACCCTTTGAGAAGTCAGATTGATGGTTTGAATGTGGTTACTGTGGCCAGGAAGAAGGTTTGAGAGAGAACTTCAACAGCTCAAATTGCGGGGACTCGGCAAAGGTACTGCCTGGTTGGAGTTCATTCCGTTTTTTCGATTTCGCCATGTTCTTCGAGTAGCCTGAACTAAGATTCGTTCTTGCTCGGGAGTACAGATGTCTTAATTTTGGTTTTGTCTGGTCGATTCTTTCCAAATATAAAAGAAAAATATATTATCAGCACTAATGTCTCATTTTACCTTTTGATAGTTTGTGAATTGAGCATGTGACATTATGCATACCCCTCAGACTATATTCAGTCTTGCTCCTGAGAGCTAATTTGAAAGCTATGGCATCATTCAAATGACTCATGCTAAATATTTTGAATGGTTAGGTTTTTAACGACACTGAAAATGAAGGGTGTTTGGATCTCAAATTTGAGATGCAAGATAACTCTTCAGCATCGTCCAAATCTGGTAATTTTAGTTCTCTATTTTTTTGTTATTCTTTTTCTATTTGATCATCTCGAGACTCAAATCACTTTAGACAGCCAGTTATTAAAGACCACGACTATGCTTACAATGAATTAGGTGGATTTTATATGAATTGTTGTTGTTAATCACGAAAGAATGAATGGTTGCTTGTGCAGACAATAGGAAAGAGAGATCTCCAGCTCCTCTTTCTGCAGAAAACAGGAGAGAAAAGTCATTGGCCCTTCTTACTCAGAACTTCGTGAAGCTTTTTCTTTGTTCCAATGTGAGTGAACCTTTTGGTGCTCCTATTTCTTTCTTCTATGATTCATGTTTTATTCATTGTGCATTATTCCTTGATGCTAGGTGGATTTGATCTCTCTTGATACTGCTGCTGCGGCATTGCTAGGTGACAACAACAATTCAACAGCTATGAGAAGTAATTAAAATCCCATTCTTGACTTGTTAATTGAAACAAGGAAGGAAAAATGAGCTTGTAACTGACACTTTCAACACTACTTTGCAGCAAAGATCAGACGACTGTATGACATTGCCAATGTTTTTTCATCCATGAATCTGATTGAGAAGGTAAATATATTGGAGAGCCTCTGTGAGATGAAATGCAAGTCAATGCTTTTTCTGTATTCTCTGACTTATCGTTTGCTTGGTTAATGGTTAACTTGTAGACACCTCACCCTGAAACTAGGAAACCGGCATTCAGATGGCTAGGATGGAGTGAAAAATGTGGGAATACTGATGCTAATTCTTCAGAGCTGAATCAATATAGGAAGAGACTCTTTGGCACTGAGATTACAAATCAAACTCTAAAGAGAAGTAAGGTGGATTCTTCGATCAATACAAAATCATGTGACCCAGTAAAAAAGGTGGTTCTCGTCAAACAAGATTCAGAAAACAAGCATGAAAGGTGTGAACAAGAGTGCCATTCAGACAATGGCTCGAGGGGTTATGTATATGGCCCATTTGCTCCTGTGTGTTTGCCCAAAGCAGTAAATTTTGCACCAAAGTCTGTGAAGCAGGATTATGACTGGGAGACACTTGCATCTACTCATCGTCCTCAATATCATAATCAAGGTATCTGACTGTTTCACCTCAAGTTTCTGGATTTTCATGTTTAGGAATTTTCTTGCATAGATGCAGTCTTTTTTTTTGTTTTTTGGACAGAAGATGCAGTCTTAATATGTCAATTTCTGCTTTATCAAGCCATTATTTCATTACCTTGACCCCTGCCGTCAAATAGGCCAACTGAATTCTCACAAAATGAGGGTCTGGTTTGTCCTTCAGAGGGTGGCCAATCCGATAGTAATTTTTTATTTATACATAAGCTAACTGCACAACATGCCTGATGGCTCTTATTGATGCTGTTGCAGCTTTGAGGGACCTCTTTTCACATTACATGGAGGCATGGAAGTTATGGTACACTGAAGTTGCTGGGAACACAAAGATACCACAAGTGTCCTGATCACTCGGTTCCTTACAAGATGATCAAGTACAGAAGAATACAGATGTTTAACCATTTGTCCGAGGATTTGTTTTTAGTTCCGGCTCTTTGATACAGTTCCCTTAGAAGAGGACGACGGATATGGCTTCTTGTTGGATCACGCTCTCGATGTTCCAACTGTATAGTCATAATTTCGCTGTTTCTAACCCATTTAAATCTAAGTCTGGATGTATTTCTGTAACATCCAGATTAGCGGCAGGATGCTGATGCGTTGTCCAGATCCATGACTGGATAATTGTCCCGACAATTGAATGAACTAATGCGAGTGTGCAGTTGCTGAATGAATTGATCAATTTTAATGCTGTACTTTGTTCTTGATTCAAACTTATTGATCATTTTTCACCGGGGCTTACTGAATTCACAACAACTGTTCTCGATTTTGATTAGTGCATAAATGATGTTATTGCTGGACAGAAGTCATGACCCAGATCAGCAGTTAACATTTTTCCTCCAGAGCTTGGGGATGTTTATTACTGATACTAGATGGTAAATTCCGTCCTGGATGCCCACTGTGCAAGATTTCAGACTTCAAATTCAGCACGGAAGTTTCGTTGCCTCCATCTGCAATTACAGATGCCGAAATTTTTGTGAAGGGTTATTGCCCTGTGAATGCAAACAAGCAGTCCTATCAAGCAAGACTGTCAAAATCACGAACTAGGCCATCCGAGAATATGGCTATCAATGAATAAAAAATAAAAACATTTCTGGTCCATGGGACATTCTGGAAAAACGAAAGGATCATAAAAATGTAGAGGGATAGAGAAAAAGAGAAGATGGACGACCAGATCTTGCAATAGCAAAAATGTTGATCCCCAGCTGTAATGGGGGACGACCTCTTCTGTGTATATTTCCTACTTTGAGTTTTACAACATCCCTGTATATACATAAAAATGAAAGAATCTCATCAATCAATTCTCGAGCCGAACATAGCAAACACAAGAGTCTATGCTCATTATAATTGTTGAGCCGCAGTAGAACTGTCCTTCGAACTGTGCAAATCATAAGACATCCACAAGTAGTCCACAGGACAAGGCATCTTCAAATCAAGCCTTGTCCAGGGCTTCCCTTTACCACTCCAATGCAATAGGCTCACAGGGCCAGGATGGAGTTTCCTGCAACTGTTCACCACATTGTCTCCGCCCAATCCGTGTTGATTCCACCTCCTATCGATCGCCTCGACGTCCCCGCCAAACACGAGCAAGAATGGCGGCAGCGAGCCCAGCTCATAGATCCGCCTCTCCCTCTGAATCTCCATCCATCCCTCAATCCGCCTCCTGTAATTACCCTCTCTCCACCTGACCAAATCCATCACCATCACTCCCGTATTGAAATAGCACGGCCTTTTCCCAGCAAAGACCTTGGGAAGCTCGGTGTCCGACCAGAACTCCTCCGAGAAGTACTTGGTGAAGTTGGCGTGGCAATACTGGGGCGCTCCAATCACTCTCGACCCGGTTAGCGGGATGCTCCACAGTTTCAGGATGTCATCGACTAGAATGACGTCCGAGTCCAAGTATATCACCCGCTCGACGCACGGCTCGAGTAGGTCCGCCAAGTAGGACCTCGCGTAGTTCAGCGGGTTCTCCAGGGCTTGCCGGACCGAGGAGGATATCATGCGACGAACCAAACCCTCGTCGAAGCCATATATCTTGAACCTGAGGGAAGGAAACGCCGACCGGAGGATTCCCGCCAAGCTCTCCTGATTCGCCGAAGCCGAAGCAATGAAGTGGAAGAAGATGTTCTCAGGGCAGGAAGCGTGCTTCAGGACGGAGTGCACCGCCGCCACCGTGCCCCTCAGGTACTCGAGATCGAGAGTCATCGCTATCCGGACGAGCGACGGGTCGCAAACCGAGCCGCCGCCCGCATCCCCATTCGACTTCCGACACCCCGGCCCGTTCCGATACTCCGGCGCCTCCAAGAACTCGGCACGCACCTCGTCACGTCCCGAGCCCGCTCGGCTCAGCTCGCCGGGGAGCAATCGGCTCGCATGCGCGCACGACCACCGGAGCAAGACGAAGCAGACGGCTGCGGCTAAGATGGCCCTCATGAGGCTGAGAACCCCGAAACCCGAAACCCGAAACCCGAAACCCGAAAGAGAGAAGCTCTCTTAGAGATGGTGTTGGTGTCGTCGACGGTGAGTCCTGCTGCAATTACAATATCAAGAAGGAGGCAGACATTCTCGTTCTCTGCATCTCCGCGATGCGTATAAGAACATGGTGAGGAAGGGAAGGGACGCGGACAAGGGAAGGCTGGCAAACGCGTGACGGCACGTAAGGAAACGCGGCATTCGGTTTCAGCGCAGCCACGTGGGAGGGAGAGTTTCAACGTTTTCACTTTTTCTCGGGAATCATTTAATGTTTTCATTTCTTTATTGGGTTCGCGATTCCCGCACGTTGAATTTGAACACACACCGCGTGTGACCTTCCGGGAGTCTTCCTCTTCTGGTCCGTCGTCGGACGCGCGGTCTCCCCTCTTGGAACGATTCTCGGTCTACGTAACGTACGTGTTCCGAGGTTCCGACCGAGGTTGCGCTGGTGATTCGGACCCGACCACATGCGGTGTACCGATCTTTCGTCTTGCTGGCCACCACCACCACCCCCCCGGCTCGTTGTCCTGATGCGTCCTGGTCACGTTACCGCGTGCTGTGCACATGCTTCCTGCCATTTGCCCTTTGTTATTTTATTTTAGGTTTGTGGAATTCGTAGATGCATCTGACAACGTGAAAATAACACAAATGGTCCTTGAATTTGGACTTAACGTGCAACGTGATTCCTGAGTTGTAGTCCAACGTGCAATGTGGTCCGTAAATTTTTAATTTGTTCAATATGATCCTTGAACTTTCGATACATGCTCAATTTAATCACTATACTAAATGAGAATATTCAATGATGTTTTTCAACTTGAATTAATGAAAAGACAATATTGAGCATTTTCATATAGTTCATGGATAAAATTGAACATGTACCGAAAGTTCAATGATCACATTGAACAAATTAAAAGGTCATGACTATATTATACATTGGGTTAAAGTTCAAGGATCATCTGTGTTGTCATTGTCCCATGTACAAAGTCATATTATTTTTCCTTGATTTTTATTTTTTTGTTTCATCATGTCACTGGAAGAAAGGTATAAGTATCTATGTTGTGCAAACGGCTACTAAAAGTCAACGTTTTGAGGCTGACTGTTCGTGGTGAACGTCCTGACACCGTCCCCACCAGCCATTTGACATTTCATCTTTGTTGTCCGTTGATCATGCCCAAACGAACGACCGATGCAATCTGGAACTCCCCCTCTGTTTCTTACCTGTTTTGCACGATGGGCATTTCCGTATCCCTCACGCACAAGGTTGTCCGAAGCAAAAGTTAAAAAAACATCGACCTTTTCAAACTAATAACTTCTTCAAGGAGAAACCGAACCGCCGAATCGAATAATTTTGTCGAATTTCTTGCCTGCTATTGTCCATATGGCAACTTTGAAAAATCAACCATGATATGCTTCTGCGATTTTCACAAATTTGCCGGTGCTAATGCAAGCATGCGCGATTTTATCGACAACCTCTAATTACAACGAACCTGGAAAGAGAATGATCTCATCAATGTCTGAAATCTGTGTGTACAACAGCCTTTCGTTTCGGTCGCTTTATACTAACCAAATGGAGGCTTCGCCTTTCAGATCTGTTTCTTTAGGAATCTAACAATAACACGTCTCTCATCAACAACTTCGAAATGGGAGCAAGAATATTTTGCACACCAGTGCGATAAATTGAAAATCGAGGGCGATATCGAAGGCAAACAGTTCAAAAGAAATCTTATTACCATTAGAAATTTCAACGGCTCGCGTATGATCAAAGAAAGTTCCCCATTTTCATCCAACAGTCATTTCTTTCTTGACTGTAAAAATGAAGGGTCAAGTGCAGCTCCTACTCGGACAAAGTTTATGAGTATTGAGACACTACATCTTCACCATGAAACATACAAGTACGACATTATATACACGGCCGTAGCAGATTAACACTGAGCGACGTGAGATGCGAAACGGGGGCAATTCCAGCTCACAATTCATTAGATGGGGCGGTGAAATGACGAGGCCGCCGCACGGATGTTTACCGAAAAGAGCTTTTGCAGCACGACAGTGTCGTCGAGGAAAATACCATACATCTCACCTGTCGGTATCCTCTTCTACCCACAACAAAGTTGACCACCCCGGTTTTCCTGGATGAATTTGTTGATAGAAAGAAGAGACGATAACGTGAACTGAATTTACCAAGGTATTCAACATAATAATCTTGTGTCATCTTACAAGCTCCTGCCGTAATGCATGGCTGCTACTTTGGGGATAAAACCGCGGAACCTTTGTACCTTTTCTTGATAACGACGTGAAGATCAAACCGCTGACAAGTCTTCTCTTCTACTTCTCCGCTGGAAAAGGAAATCTTCATTGAGCAGGACATATCAGGTCTGCAGTTAAATACTTGTAATAGAAGAAGGTGATCAAACAAGGGATGGAAAAAAGAAACAACCTTTAAGCTCATTTGAAATAGAATGTGCACTCTTCTTATCTAGACGAGATAATATACTCGACAAAGCACACGACCAAAGCAGACGCTGTATCATAAAGCAATCAGCACCTTTGATGAGTTACAAGCTATTTTGCATTCCAGGCCATTAACCACTTGAATGCCCCCCAAGGCCATACACAACACAGAATTTTCATGCACGCCAGCATATTTACGCTCGTTCTTGCGGGATATCAGCAGTGAGCTACATGCTAAGTTATAGCTCCTTGTTTCCAAGCGACGAGGGGGCATAATGTGCTAGTAAAATTGAGGAACCATGTTTGAGGAACAAAAAAAACATAGTATTCATTTCAAAAGCACCCATGCTCCTTCAAGGAAAGGAATCAAGAAACACGCAACATTGCCGCGTAAGTGCACTCTCTTCCCATCCCGTATCGCATTCCCAATCAAATACTTCTCTGCATTTGCTATGCCTAAATGGTACATCAAATAACAATCTGGAGACAACATAGGAGAGGCAGAGTACCGGGTCCTCAACCGATTTAATAAACTTCTCGATAATGCTCAAAAGATATAAGGGGTATTAAAATTTCCACTCTCTTCTCAGGAGTTCTACATTTGTGAGTTTTAGGAGACATAACCACCTTGCAACAAATATGTCAGGTGGCTATCAGATGAGCAGCAAAGTTAAGATCCATCCGCGGAAACCGCAAACACTTCGCGTTCTTCTCTGTATTCATCCTAAAATTTTGCATTGCCAATGGTCCCATCGAGCAGGTCATAGTACAGGACACTGATAAACCTGCAGAGTGCAATAAACATAACCTAAGGAGAATCTATCTACTTTGACAACCTGGCATGTGTACCTGTAAAAACCGACATCCTCCGAAATTCTGCATCTGCAGCCTCTATCGAGTTCATCGCCGTCGCTGCTGATAAACCGCTTCCGTAGGGAATCTGGTTGTCGAACGGATTCAGTAGCTGCACAGAAGAATAAACAAACTGCAGAGCCACAGTTCAGCCTTACTTGATGAAGCCTACGAAGCACGCAGAATTCAACATGCGAATAATTCCTCTACGGAGGTATAGAACAGCCTGCACACGCTTTGAAAGGGGGGGTGCTTCACTGAAGAGAGAGCGTTCTGACAGTGGCAAACATCAGACGTACTCCTTGTCTCATCTTCAGTCTCAGCCTTACCCTTATCACAGCGATCCAGATCTTCCCTTTCGTACACACACGTCACACCCGCAGAATACTACCCGATGCATCAACCTGTCTCAGCAGCATCGTCACCCGTCAGCAGGCAACTTCTTGTCGAGCACATTTCGTCGGGGGACTACTTCGGTTGTTCAGATCGTTCGTTCTTCCTTCACAAATCATGGAACGAACAAGGTCAGAGCGTGCGCCCTGGATCGAGGCCGCGTTCGAATCTCTTCGGCTGGACCGGGGGGGACGTGATTTGTGAAATGAAGAACGAGCGGTCCGGACAAGCGGAGAAATCGCCCGGGGAATGTGCAAACCAAGCGTTAGGGTTTCCGATGAGGCAGTCGAAGGTTTTTAATAAGTGGGTGTCTGATGCGCAGCCGAATCTACGCGTTTTACGCTTTTTTTCGGGTTTATGTGACCTGAACTAAACTGGCTCAGCCCGACCCGGGAGCGGCCTCAATGTACCACGGCTCGGCTGCCTTTAAGGGCCCCAAACGCAGAGTTAGCGGTTTAAACTGAGGGCGAGCATGGTTTTAAGGTAGAACCCGAAATTTGAAAATCGAACTGGTTCCAAGATACGTAAGGTAGTTCCGGGCTCTAGGTAGGAGAAATTTGAAACCCGAAATAATCTTTTGTGCTTTTCTTGATCTATGTCTTCGCGCGATTATGTAATATTCCACGGCGTTCGATAATAAATATATAATTTGGGACCGCTAGTCCGAGCTTCCTTTTCATGACTAAGGCTTTTTACTTCATTAATGTTTCATAATCTTTGTATATAAATGTAAGTTGTGATCAATGGATTGTAGTAGCAAATCGTGGTCATTAAATATGATGATTCACTGGAATCTTTAAATTAATAATGTTGGTAGAACCTGAATAAACCCTAAAACCAATTTTGAAACCTGTAACGGGGTAAATTATGATTACAAGGTATGCAAAATTTGATGTAACATACTACAATAGTGCAAACAAAACAAAAATCGGGTAAAAATATCGAAGGCGAACCGTTATACCGAGGGGAGAAAAAAAACTAAATAAAATTTTATTACCATTGTCAATCCAGAGTTTAGTATGTGATTACAGAAAGTTGCCAACATTTACCCCAATAGTCAGTCATCTTTCGTGACACGAGTTTATCGGCCAAGAGCAAGAGCAGCTCCGACTCGGACACAGTTTTATGATGCTACATCTCGACCATGTGACATACAACACTATATACACAGCTTGCCGAGGGACGCCAGACAAGAGACAGAGTTGGCCATTTCCAGCTCACGGTTCGTCAGACGGGTCAAGCGATGAACACCCCAAGTATGTGAGCTAGATTGTATTGCCCAAAGGAAACCACCGTAGCCGTCGCCAAGTTAGTGTTCTCTTCTACCCACGACGAAGTCAATTACCGAGGCTTTCCTTGGATGACTTTGTTGATAGAAAGAAGAGACGATGCCGCGCACAGAATGAACCAAAGTTTCTGACATACTAATCTTTCGCCATCTTTACTTAGCTTCTGCTGTGACATTTGTGCTTCTACTTTGTCGATAAAATTCTGTGGAACCTTTGTACCTTTTCTTGGGAACGAGACGAAGATCGAACCGCGGGCGAGCTTTTCCTCCTCCTTCTCCACCGAAAAAGGAAATCTTCAGTGTCCAGGACATAAGAGGTCTGTCATTAAACACTTTGAATATCAGAAAATGATCAGAACAAGGGACGAAAGAGATATTTAAGCATGTTAAAAGTAGAATCTGCACTTTTCTCATCATTATTTTCTAATCGAGATAATATTCTATAAAGGCACACAATCGAGAAGAACTTTGTATCATCATGATCTTTCTCGATTGTTAACCTGACTAAAGCAGAAGTGAGCCCAGAAATGGACCAGCAGAAGATATGACCGTCCATATCTATCTATAAGAAGATCGAGCAGTCTACACATGAATAAATCTAAGTAGACAAAACAAAGACCAGGCAAGTCTTGTCCCTTTAACACAGCAGAAATTTCAACTACAAGTGCTTCATATAAGAAAACCTTTTTCTGGTTTAGATAAATATCAACCAAAGGCAGCAACATATTACATCCTCTAGAGAGATAAAGTAATCAGAACCTTTGATGAGATGCAAGCCACTTTGCATTCCAGACCATTAACCACTCGTACGCCCTCCAAGGCCATACAGAATGCAGAATTTTCATCCAGCCCAGCATATTTACGTTTGTTCCTGTGTATATCAACAGCGAGTTACATGCTAGAAGGCATAGATCACTAGATACTTGTTCAAATGCGACAAGTGGGCATGATGTGCTGATGGGATGTGCTTGAAAAATCGAGAAAATATGTTGCATGTTGAGAAAACAAACGTGGGTAAAACATCAAACTCCATGAGTATTTATTTCAAAAGCTTCCATGCTCCTTACAGAAAAGAGTAAGGAAACACAAAGAACTGTCCCGCAAGTCTCCACCTATCCCATAATCACGTTCTTAATCAAATACTTCTCTGCATTTGCTGCGCCTAAATGGTACATCAAACTAAAGTCTAGAAACAACGTTTGAAAACCAGAGTAATGGGTCCCCTAACTGATTTAGAAAAAACCTCTTGATGATGCTGAAATTTAAAGAATTCTATTTCTTCTCGGGAGTTCTACATTTGCGAGTTTTAAGAGTTATACCCACCTTGAAAGAAAAATGTCATGTGGCTCCTTTCTGATAGGAGAGGCTATCAGATATTCACTGTGCAGATAAGCACCAAAATTAGGGTCTATGCAAACCGCAAACACTTCCGGTTTTTCATTCGGATTGTCCATCAGCTGAATGGACAAAGAAGGGGCAGCAAATGACTGCAAAAGGAACAGAAAAAGTAATGGATACCAAGAAGGGGACAAAAGAAACAGAAAGTTCACCAGACAAGTTGTTGAAAACAATGTCATCCACATAAGTGAACTTACAAATTCCATTCTGTATATGTTCTCGTCATGGAGGAAGATACGTGCATTCTCATAATACACCGGATCAACAAACCTCGCACATTTCCGTGATTTCTCGTAATCGTACAATTGAAGAAGCTTATTGTCCATATCATCAGAAGCAACTGATTGAAGCTGCAAGAAAAATTGCCATTCAAAAAACTTCTAAAAATTCTGAAGAGTGAACTCAATGTTGAAAAAGAAAGATGTCCGTATGTATCTACGAGACAGCTGACCTGCTTCACGAGCTTATATATCAACTTGTCCAATGTAAAGAGCACATAAGACTGATTTCCAATTATATCTCTGCATTCGTCTTCAAATTTCGCATTATCAATGGTCCCATCAAGCAGGTTGTACAGGACACTCATAAACCTGCGAAATGTAATAACTATGATGTAAGGAGAATCTATCTATTCTGACAATAATTCAAAAGGTAATTACTACTAGACCTAGACCTGGCATATGGATCTGTAGAACCAATATCCTCCAAAATTCTGCGTCTATCGGTGTTTATTGAGTTCGTCTTTGCTGATAAAATTCTTTCGTAGAGAATCTGATTTTCCAAGGATGTTCAATGGATTCAGTAGCTGCATAGAAGAATAAACAAACTGCAGAATCAAAGTTCAAACAGCCTTACTTGATGAAGCCTAAAAAGCACATAGAAATCATCATTTCCATAGAATATCTGGGAACACTTCCTCTCTGCAGGTAGAACAGCCTGCACACGCTTTGAAAGGGGCTTCACTGAAGAAAGGAAACGTTCTGACAGTGGCAACGAAGCAGAGTCTCCATTGCAAGGTGCATCAGATGTACCCTCTGCCTCATCCTCACTCTCAGCCTTACCATCATCGTCATGATCCACATCTTCCTCCTCTTCATTCTCTTCATGAGAGCACTCATCACCAGCAGAATTGCTACCTGATACATCACCAGTTTCAGAAACATCATCACTGTCTTCCTCGTCTGCATGATTTCCTCTCCCACCATCCTGGTTACATGCCTGTTCCCCACCAACAGAGTGGTTCTCTCCGTCATCTGCATGGCAATTCGCCTTAGGCAGAACCTTCGCTCCACCATCTCTATCGGCAACAGAGTTGTCTTCCTCGTAGTCAGCAACTGGAGATAATTCACCTTCTTCTTTTTCAATTTTAGAGGACCCAAAAGAATCTCCATTGTATCTGTTGGCTTTTGTGCCTTCCTCAAGCAATCCACTCCCAGCAACTTTTGCAACAGTACCAGCCTGAAGCACCGAATTAGCTATAAATAGCCATTTAAAATAAAAATAAAAAGGAGAATAATTCATCGAGGCATGTAGTCCACAGAGTCAATGCATTCAACTCTAACACTGGTAATTACACTATGAAATGCCTGAAAGGGCAGAAGCTCATACCTCCAGTAAGGGAAGAATATCAGCCTTTCGGTCCTCAATGGCACCATTGCTAGGATTACATGGTGGCACATCACCCCCTAAAATAACAAAAAAAAGTCATTATTGAGGCATCACTATCAGTTAACGGTTAGGTCATGCAATATCATACATGTCATTAATCCATCTCTCAGACCTGACATCGCTTGCATTTTAACTCGTCCAAAACAATTTTCTGAAGTAGCAAGCTTCGCGCTGTCAGTGGCTGGTTCACCAGACACAGCTTCTATCTTCAACCTAGACATTTCCTCAGTCACTGCATTACTCACTGTAAAATAACAATAGCGTCTAGAATAATCCCCACGGGCATGCTCTGGATCTAGGCAACTATTCTCTTTGGTTGACATGTTTCCATTTGGCAAGTTTGTCCCGGAAGTACTTGCCAATCCGGACGAAATATTCTCTGTCCTACTGTCCACAGGCTTTAAATGCTTTAGATCTGCTTTAGTACCATTAGCTTCTGGACTTCCATTAATTTCAACTCCCTTCAATGGAGTGACAATTCTAGCACCAGAAATGGGTTTGCCAACAACTTCAGCACCCCCTTTCTTGTGGGACCTACAAGGAACACTCAGCATTGGCTCCAGAAATGTAGTCCATAGCCGCATAACTTTATTTAACTGTTCTTTGGTGGAGCAAACCTCTTCACATGAGTACTTAACAAGTTTGTGCAAGTCTTCATGAATGCTACCATCAGAGAATAAGTATTCAAAATGGGGAACAATAGGCTGCCTATTTGCAGCTGCAATGGCGAGGATACTATCATCCTCTTTTTGCCTCTTCTCTTTCATTTCTCTGATCTCAGCAACCAGAGCTGCACATCAAAGTTGTATACATTATTAAGGCAAGAGAATAAGCACGAATAAAGAGACATTAAACACAAGAAGACCCACACACCCTAAATAGTTTTCAAAGAAAGGGATGAATGTTACCAATAGCAAGCCCGCTGATGGTGTGAAAAA